CGACACACACGCACACACCCGACACACACCCGACACACACGCACACACGCACACACACCACACACACGACACACACACACGACACACGGAACATCCATGACACACACAACACCAACATGGCACAGACGCGACACACGCACACACGACACACACGATACACGCGACACACACACGACGCCCACGACACAAACGGCACACACATGACGCACATAGCAACACAACACACACTCGACACGCACGATACACACGACACACACACTACACTCACGCACACACACGGCACACACGACACACGCACACACACACACACGACTGACACGACACACACATGACACATACAGCAAACACGCAACAATACAACACACATGCAACGCACAACACACATAGTAAGAAGATGTTCTTATAGAATTTCATATTTTTCACCACAGAGATAGGCGACGGTCTGATGACCCACAATGCAGGCTAAAGCATTATGGAAGAGGAAAATTGACTGCGAGAACCGACGTGATCCTTCTCACTTGCTTCAGCAGCGTAGTGGAGGACATACGTGAACTCTAAGATCTGAACATTTCTCTCCTGCCAAACACCTTCTCAGAGAAAAAGGTATTGATGCATGTATCGCCGTGTGCGAATGGGGCAGAAACTGGTCCTACTTTTCGTCATAGAGCTTGTGAGTCTACTAATCCTATCTAGATACTGCTGTTTCTGCTCAATAAATGTCTTTCTTATCCAATTAGCAGATGAATTGATTCGGCAGTCATTTTCCTCATGCTTGTGCAGGTTCGTGTCGTAAACGTTCCCTGGCATTTGTCTGCTAGAGAGAAGACAACTGCTTCGAGGTTTTTTCTTGACCTATCCACGCGTCGTTATTCACTAGACTGTCGTGCGAGAAATGTCGAAAGGGCGGGCGATTTCACGAGGGGAGGATCTTATGGCAGGGTTTTTGCATCTGCGAGGCCTTCAAGGGGCGTCTTCGATGGCTATTTTACAGCTAGAAGTGATCTGTTCCCTACCCACTATTGAAACCATCCAGAGGTCAAAATTTCTTAATTCTTCTCGGACACTACAATCACTGTAGGATTACTTCTAGCACTTCATAAGCAGATGTGGTGATCTGGAGCAAACTTTTAGAAACAAACAAGTTTTCACAATGAGATCTACAAATAATAAAGGTCATCACTTCAGAATCACTTACTATATATGGTGTGAAGCAGATTTGTGCAAGCACCTTGAAATTATTAGGATGAGTGCCTGAGATCAGCTGCATGCCGTGAGGAAGAGAGAAGTCTCATAAGTTTGGGAGAAAAGAATCGGAAGTAGGCAAGTGATGGAGACGGAGATGGGTCGCGAATGTACATGTAAATGTTGAGATCATGAGCTACTGCATATGGGCTGATACCACGTTCGTACATTTTTAACAGGACAAGTAGACGTCTAATGGCTTTTTTAGCCCCGCGGTTCCGCACGGGATGTACATCAGCTTTAGTTGCTTTTGTGGAGATAGTATAACATGATAACATCATACACGATCCTTGGAAGATGTCAAGAGTCCACCACCAGCGGCATTGATATTGGGAAGTAGCCATTACCAACAATCGCACCCACTCTAACATGAACTGATTGTTAATCATGCGTTTCTCTTGCGCGGACCTCGAAATTCCGAGCCCGTGAGAATCCCCTTCTCCTAAACTCGCCCGTAGATTCCTATCAAAACTAAGTCGGAAAAGTAGATGATGCAAAACATGTTTACAATAGACCAGGATCACCACCAACAGCTTTTGTTCTATGTGGCCGTCGGCCAGAAGGCAAGGTACACCTGTGAAAGAGTGGGTGGCAGTAGAGACTGACCGCATGATCCTTTTTACTCTCTTCGAGCGTCGACGCTTAAAATCGCAGCGTACATTTACTTCAGAGATCGCACCGTGAAAGTGGCATGCGTGAGCAAGTCAGGAGATTGTGCGATATCGTTTTGTTTGGAGCATCTCCACCAAAGAAAGGCCGCTGAAGGCGGTGAGGTCGACATACAAAGGCTTCTCGCCCTCAAGGAAAAAGTCCTGCAACTGCGAAAGCCGCGTCGCTCACAAAACCCGATCCACTGTCTCACGCATATGAAGTGTCACGCTCACCACTGCTTTAAGCCACCGTCATCACGTCAGACTTTTGTGTTCGCTTTGTCGAGCGCTCACCTGGAATCACTTTCATAAATCTGTTTAGATCTCTTTTGGCAAAGTTTGAACGCAAATTCGAAATTAGTGCACCAAAATACTGGCATTATAAGCCATTTATTTCAAGGCCACTTGGGGTCCTCAACTTGTCAGAAAAGAAGTCAACGGAGGGGCAGCTGTATGAAGGCGGGAGTTCACCTTTTTGAAATACCCATTTTTCAAATTGGGAGCACAAAGTCAAATATGTAAGTAAAGTTTATCATAAACATAATAAGAAGTGCAGGTTTGGGAAACTGATTTGAGAAACGAGCTGCCCCTTTTCCGGCTCCAAAGTACGGATGCTCGGCTGATCCGCTATAGTGGAGTCCATTATTAACTGAGCCTTACAGCTAGTAGCTAGTGCTCAATTCAGTTGTGTGGTGTCGCTCACGCCTGTGATTAGGAAGCCTCGACTTGTCGCTCTTTTTCGTAACATCAATCATCCATTAATTAATGTTCCCCTTCAATGGACCTAGTGGCAAATCGACTTTCCTATAAATGAGCTGCTATGACCCCTCTCTAGCTGATATCGTTTTTTTTCCAGTCCGCTATCTGTGATCCAATCACATCCCATATCCCTCATTAACTCTCAGTGTTATCTCATGTTTTGACATCCCTACAACTTATTGCATTCTAGTGCTCTAACTTGCGCAACTACGCATTGTTGTTGCCATCCGCTCTAATTCATTGAACGCGGTGGACTTTTCCTTTTAGAAACAAGACATGGCGACTCGTGCGCCACAAACTCCATCTGTCATATCACTTATGGATGTGCCAGCAATATTGCTGCCCACGATGATTGGTGAAGTGGGGTATGATACCAACAAGGTTGAGGAAGTAGCGAGCAGGTATATTCTGCTGCCTCAGCGTAGCCTTTGATCTAAATCGTGAGTTTTGAAAGTGATATCCAGGAATACCAGCAACAAAAACGATCCGTTGGTGTCTAAATCTGGTGACCCTTGGAGATCATCAGTGAAGGATATTCCGCTGGAACGACGAAGACGTGCCAATAAGTCGTGCCAACGACGAGACAAGCCTCATAAAAGCTGTAAGTATGACTCATGCACTTCGAAACTTTAGTGTTTTTGGCTGATTTGAAACGATCATGTTGTTTTTTCTTCACGCCAATATAGCTCGCAAACTTGAACAAGATGTTGTTGCTGGTAGTTCATGCAAAAAAAGGTGGTACCGCTTAGTATTGTACTGATCACCTTACACTTGCACCGCTGCCAGCCCCCAAGCTCGGCTGTTCCTTCATTGAGCTTGATGGCCTTCACGGTAGTCACTATTGGTGCAATGACTAGTGCACTCGTACTATCTCCTCGTGCTTTTGCTAAGAATCCGCTATAAGTTTTCTTTTGATTCTCAATGATAAGTATTGCCGTTTGCGTAAGCCTTGCTTTACGTCTGAGCGGGAATAGAGCGTGATTATCTGGCCGACTCATCTGCGAGCACGTACATAACAAGTAAATTGTTAAGAACGTAACTAATATGTAATTTTTCAATTAGACGAACAAGCGACTCTTCTGCCAGTCACATTCACGTATAGAGCTGCTTTTGGGGATTATCAAATCACGAATTCGAAACCAAGTGAGTAGGGCAGTTTGTAGTGAATTGAATTATTGGATTGCTTGACAGACTACGAGAACACTCCTAATGAAATCATTCTTAATCAAGCTGCATCGTGATTCAAGAGGCATCATTTGTAACAGCGAACATCGCGTGAAGATGTCTATCTTCTTCTCAGCGCACTGTCACTCTTCCCCAGTCGTTTACCACTAAGCCTGCAGCGGCAAGAGAACACTGGAGAACACTTTGTTACACTACTCCAAACGCACAGAATATTATGTATAAGGTTGGCGACTACGTTATCACGTACTTATCTCGCAATCAGAGAAGTGTTACATTTTTGACAAACGAAATATTTATCCGATTATATCTGAGGTATTTGGTTTATTAATATTGATCACTTCGAAAAACACGTAGTTAAACTTTAAGATGCAGCTGCCACCCTAATATCTTGTCAGTAAATGGTTGATTTTCAAGCCCAAATTTTGTGCATGGAGACGCTTTATCGAACGGTCAGCACAAGTGCGTGTGTTTCGACTACAGGCAAAGGATGATGATATCGGATTTCGTCGTGCTTTGTGCAGAACATTAATCAACGATGTTTCATCTCATAGTTATGTCAGCATGATTTCGGGGCTGCTGAGATGGGGATGAGGGTATTGAGATTGAAGAAGCTGAACATCCACTGAACTTGTTAACAACAAGCGACTCAATTGGACCTACACCAAATTATTAGGTTGATGCATAATTATTACGGATTTTTTCGCGGCCTTTTTTTCCCGACAGAATTTGAATATTGAGTTCGGATTTTTTCTAGAAATGATCTACTCGATTTCTTCTACAAAAGTGTACCTAGAAAGCCATCCGCATATTTGCAAAATCAGGCCCTACTACTTCGAGAAGGGTTGGAAGCTGGCAGAGTCATTCCGCGATCTCAGTAACTTTTTTTTAAACAAATTGTATTTAATGAAACGACAAAAATACTAAACAAAAACATGTTCAAGTAGTTACTCCGGACCTTATCCACCATTTCTGTCAAGCACTGCTTCCCATTGGCTAGACAGTCGGATTCCAAAAGCAAAGACGTTTTGATCCTTGGGGGCGATCCACGCCTTGACATCGGCCATCAAGTCATTCAAATTGACGTAAGTTCTATTCCCCAGCCATTTTTTCAGCTAACGGTTGACGAGATGATTCATAGCAGTTTCTGCTGGTGAATATGGCAGATTTAAGAGCAGATCCCATTTCTTGGTTGGCTTTGGCTGGTTGTTCCATCACCGAAAAGTTACTGAGATCGCGGAATGAGTCTGCCACCTTCCAACATTTCTCGAAAAAGTAGAGCATAATTGCGCGAATATGCAGATGGTTTTCTAGGTACATTTTTTGTAGAGGAAATCTAGTAGATCATTCCTAGGAAAAAATTCGAACTCAATATTCAAATCCTTTCGGGAGAAAAAAGCCGCGAAAAAATCCGCAATAATTATGCATCAACCTAATACATGGAAACTTTTTGTGCGTGATTTAGACATTTTGTGCGCAAAATCGATTGGGTTAGCTGAGCGATGCGAAGAAAACAGCACTCGTCTTCAGTGCTGTACTTCTGCCTTTGGACTCCAGGAGAAGCAGGTTTTCCAGGTATATTATAACACTGGAAGAGGGGTGAGTAATCTTTGGTATAACATTTGAAATACAGTAGTAGTTGGCAGCTGGTCGAATACGAGACCGTTTTCGAAGCCGAACATGTATAGGAAGAAAATGGCCGTGGGTCTGTGTTGCATTACGGAGCTGCTACACTTCGATATGTCGAGTGCTACTGCTGAGCTTGGTGCTTTTCTGCTTGCATCAAGCGTCGCATTGCGAACGAGTCAATTCGACCAATTCAATGCCTGGTATGGCAGAGCAAAGCTCCATCTCTCGAGGAAATACTGCAACAGAGAGTCGAGAAATAAAGCTGGGGAGTTCTGTCTGACCTGTTTTCCGCGTAGATCCAACACGATTAAATTTCCATTTGTGTAGGTCAGTGCGGTGCTTCCTAACCCAAAAGTTATCAACATAACTGGCACCAAAATTTTGATGTACGGCTGTCAACTTCGAGTCATAAACAAATTTTTCAAGGTAGGGCATCAACTCACTGCGCAACATAGGAAGGGAATCCACTATGCAGTGTGTGAAGTGTATTATGGATTAATGCTTTGTTGTTGTTTTCGCAATGTATTTTTTTGTCGATCAAAAACGTCATTCGAATCAACCGGTTTTATACTCCTGCTGTGTTGGTGACAGCACACCTAATGGGATGAAGGAGAGGCGGCCGTTCAGCTCGGCCCTTCGCAGCTACTTTGCCATTGTGGCGCACGAGCTTCATTTGCCACCTAGGCGCCGCCCACACAGCGAAGTTTTTGTGCTGAAAAGTTGTCCAAACCATCGAGCCCCTCGATTCACGCTCAATTGATGACCTGTTAGGGTTGCTTCGCTTCTACGTGCGAAATAACCTTGGTTAAGTATGAAGGTCCAAGGGTCATTAGATTTCCCACACATTCTCATTAATGGACTAGAAAGAATAGAAATTGGCAAGATTACTATATAACAAAATAGGTTTTTGAATGCTGTTCACGAATATGGAAGCTAAAACTGCAAAATGGCTTCCCTAAAGAAGTTATGGACGCTCGAAATCCGCTCGACAGTAGTGTAAATTGGAAATGTGAATTTGTCGTTGCGATATCAAGGGGCGACGTGGCGGAGGTGTAGTGGTCTCGCTTCATATGCAGAAGATGCGGGTTTGTTCCCCGACATCATCGGTTTCTTGTCGTGTTCTTTTATTTCATTAGAAGCTCTCAAAATTTTTCTTACATTTGTTCAAATGAACGCCTTATTTCTGCTATCGTTCGCGCTTGTCGAACCTGTCCAGGGGAGAATGGAGTACGTTAATTGTATGGCTCTGTTTTATTTCGAACATCAGAAAACCATGGAATGATGCCCGTGCTAGAGATGTATAGTATATCTATAAGGAATTTTACAGTGATTGAAAACCTGAAAAGTACGTGAGGCACACATGTTGTTTGTAAACTGCAACCTTATGCATGCTACTTCTCTACACTAGGACAAAACAGTCATCATCTCAAGACCGATTAAATACTCGCCAGGAGTGACACAAGAGCTTGGGTCTTCATCATCATACCCAGCCTTGCACAAGAGCATTCCAAAAAATTCGAAAAACGAGGTGCACAGAACATTCTATATACTTGTGATAACATTTTAAGTATATTATCTATGTGCTGAATTCCGCGGTTTTCATCGTAGCTCTTGATCTTATCCTCTTCATAACGTTCGCCACAGGCCCGAAGAAGGAGACAAAAGGTGAGATCACTGGCTATACGCCTTCGTCTAAGAGTCATCGAGCCAAAAATTTTCATTTGAGCACGGAGTTGACCTATATTCAGTTTTAGAAGAGGATCTGAGAAGCAATATCCTGATGTGAGTTTGCTAAACTTTTTCCAGTTCGCTAATATCCTCCTTTAGCGATGGGGTTCCACACTTGAGAGCAGTACACACCATTAGACAGTACATTCCGTAGAAGCAAAGATAGAGCATCAAATACCTCATTATCAACCATCTATATGCAGAGAACTCAAGCTTTGAGCTAGGAACTATACCCAAGTCCTTCACAGATTAAACCCATGCGAATTCAGTTCCGTTGATAGAGCACTCCCAAGGGAGACCGTTCCCAATATGCAAGACGGAAGATCTACTTAGATGGACTGGGAGGTTCCACGAAGCTGCCCATTCTGTCAGCCCTTCAACAGAGTGCTTGATAGCGAATTGGACTTAGGACGAGAACATCGTTGACGGGTGGTACGGAGCACGAAAAGAGGTATAAAATGTTGGCTCCGAGAGTGGGATGGGTCACATATCGAATGAACCTGTAGTTGTAAGTAGAGGTACAGGGCCGAGGATTGATCTCGTGGCACCTTAGTAAGCCAATCAATACCGAGATTAAAATCAGCAATCAACAAAGTATGGGAAGAAGACGAACATAAATCTGACAAAGCAGACATCATCGGCAGGGGAAATATTTGGCGAGCGGCAGACAGCAACTAGTCCCAAAGAAGACGGAAACCAATCATTAAAAAACTCAACACAAATTACTTCAGGCACGAGTTCAAATACAACCTTTACTCCTTTGCAAATCATGAAGTAGTTAACTAGAGAGCATATCCCACGCCTACCTCTACTTTTGCGATCATTCCTTTAGACATTGTAAGGAAGGGTCGTCGTCGATTCGGAATCGGATACATTTGATTTGAGCCGTGTTTCCGTAATTACTGCAACATCTGGCTTGAAAGTACTCAAAAACAAATGTAAATGGTAAATTTTCTCCACTAAACTTCACAGGACTATGCTTAATTGTGCGTTTCCTGAATTTTAAGTCTGAAGATCGGAGGGACATCTGAGCTTACCTCTGTAAATCACCCATTCTCGAGTGGGTTTATCTCTATTACGCTCTCTGGCCTGCTGTGCCAGCTTGTAATCGCGCTTCCACTCCTCTGGAGTCATAGTTCTTCTAACAAAAGTGTTTGCGAATGCAGTTGACCTCAACAGTTCTGCATTAGACAGCGCAATCCTCCAGAAGAAACGGGAAGAATGAGAACCTTAACTAATCTGGAGCGTGAGGGTTCTCCCTCTCCTAAAGGGCACAGTTCAACGGGATGGCACCACGTTGAACGCATTGAGTATTTTGGTGACTTTTACCTCTAAGTCTTCCTGCCTTTCATCCCAGGTGGGGCTTCCTCAACACCACTAATGACAATAGTCAGCCCCATTCAGGTCGCTATGAAAAGGAGTAATTTTCTCACTTAAGGAGGGGCTACGGATCTCCTTTCACTGAGGGTTCTCTCTCACTGAAGGATCCCCAGCCGGTTAGTGACGAGGCTACGTAGGGCGTCCCCAGGTGGCGGATAGGGGAATTAATCGCCGACCAAAAGTCACCGGTACTTGTCCAGAGACGCAGGTGGATTCAGGGGATGGACTCCTTGATTCTGCTGTGCTGGGTCGATATACCCTCTGTTCCTCGCTGGCGATCCACGCATACGTGTGTGGAGAGTCTGTGGGTGCAGTTGGTATCCTGCCCATCGACTCGGCCAGAAGCTTGCATTCGAGTGACGATCAAGTCACACTGGGAAGCATCTGGGAGGCGATTCGGGGCCGCCTCCAAAAACAAAGCCCCTTGTCCACTTCGGGATAGCCTGGCAAGCCCCCGGAGTCAATAGCCCCCACGTCAGAGCCTGGCAAGCTGCACGTTGGGTATCTTCACGCTAAAAACAGTAAGAGAAATGGGCTTCATTCCCCTGAACCTGAGGGAGCCCCCAATACGGCAGCGTTGGGTAGGACCGCTCGGGAGAGGCTGCTAAAATCTCAGGGCCAAAACAGGCTGCCCAAAAGGAGAAGGACTAAGATGGCGATCTGTACTTTCAACGCACGGACGCTTGCATCGGAAGCGTGTATAGAAGACCTGATGATGCAAGCTAGGAAGATCAAGTAC